TAAGGAAAAGGACAGCTCGGGCGCTAGGTGGTGCCTAGAAGGGAGCACGAATAGACTCTTGTGGCTCAAGGAAGGTGCGAACTGGCTAGAGTGGAGAAGAGCAAATGAAATGAGAAAGGAAGAGTGACAATGACATCTGGTGGGCCCTATTTATAAGAGCCTCCAGAGCGGGAATATGAATAGACCCGAATTAAATTCAAATTTAATATTGGCAACCATCATTATGAAGCGACGTAATGGTTGAAGTGACAGTTCCGACCAATGTGGCTGTTACCTACGGCCTCAGAGACTGTGGCACTGATCAATAGGCCCCCACGCCGAATTGACACCTTCCTTGAAATTTGGTCCAGATTCACACGACTGTGCGATGACTCTAGACTTCAAGGGGGGCTAATGTGGAGGAGCCAATCTGCTGTGGACATGTGTCAGTTCGGATGAGTCTACTCGGCAGCGCCGACTTGCTAGTTCAGACCTCAGCCACGAACCTCCTGGGATTTGAGCAGGGTGTGGACTCCAGGCCCATTAGGGCCAGAGGTAGAGAGGCAGAATCCAAATAGGACTCCACCTCTTGCAACCTAGTAGGGCTCCGTTAGGACTCTCCCTCCGGATCATCCCACGAGACTCTATAAATAAGGAGCGAAGGGACCAGGAAAGGTACGCATTCATACATCTATAGCACTATACGACACAGCCGCTTCCTATTACTTCTCGAAAACTCTGTCTAACTTGACCATCGGAGTAACAACGGGGAGCTAGTCCCACTGTTCATCCCTTTGCAGGATAGTTCGGAACCGGCCTTGGCGCTCAGTTCGGATCGCGTTCTCAGCACCCGCATCAGGTGTCTACCCAATAAATGTATTTTATGTGTTGGATTTTTGAAAATGTAAAGTCAATTTAGGAAAGTATATAAATGCAAAAAAAGGTATTAATTATTAATATGTACATATACATTACAAATTATGTGAAATTTAGTTGTGTTGATGGTGCCCAACGGGTTAGAAAAACTCTTAATTTTATGGACCACCATGGAATGATACGTCTTTTGAAGCTCTTAACCATGGACACAACTAAAGAAGTGGTGTTAATTTCCTTACGAGAAGTGCCATTTTGTCACGGAGACATGTCTATTGTCTCATTTGGATAATGTAGAAAACAACACGAGATCATTGACGAATCCATGTCCAGTATCTTTAACATATTTGCCGTTAGCTTATTGAAAGGCTTTGGTCGAAGTTAAGAGAGAGTGCAGATTAATTGATGAAATAATGGTAGCTGTATGGTAAATTATTTTTCTCTTTGCTAGCTTTCTACTTTCATTTTTTTTGTACCTTTGTCTTTGCGAGCAGTCTACTTGCATATTTTCAACCCCCCGCTTGAATGGACAAATAAATTGTATGCTACTTAATAGATCAGGTGGTTTTCAACAATGGAATCCAGAATCGCCAAAGTCATCCAAATATGTATTTAAACAAAGCTATGAATTCCCTTACTTACATTTAATTTAGCTATTTTCATGATTGTAAAGGGAATAGGACATCTTGTTATTTTTATTTTATCATGTGTATATTCACAATTTCGTTGATTAATAAAAAATAAGAATGACATCTCTCCTCTGTATATGCGGTTTGCAAAAAAAAAAAGAATAATAATAAACTAAGCTATGAATTCTCAAACTCCACATATAAGTCAATTCAAGATATATAAAGGAGCAGTTTATTAGAGTAAGAATAAAAAGACTAAACACGTTCAGTGATGAGGGCTTTTTTTTGTAAGTTTGTTTTCCTTCTTTAGTTTCTTCCTTTGTACGGCTGAGTTTGGTAGATTAGAGTTGGTAATGGATGAATATATATACATATATATATATATATATATATATATGATTAATCCTATGTCAGTTTATACACAATCAATGTTAGGTATATGTAACATATGTGCAAATTTTGAATATATATATACAACCAAAAAAGAAAAAGCTTTATTGACTCCTCCCAAACTCCCTTTTGCCTCTTCCTCCTCCCCCACCCCCCTCTCTCTGAAAGACAGATACAAACACTCAGAGATCTTCACACTATTTCTCGTTCCATCACTGAAATTTTTGGCCTTGCTTGGATTGTTGCCTTTTTTTTGGAAAAAAATATTGCATTTTTCATGAATTACTTTTTACACATTTTTTAATCACTTTTTTTTGTTTATGGCACACACATAACAAATACATATACCTATATTCATATTATATTAAGAAGAGAACGTTAGATTTGTAGATTTAGTGTTTTAACTTTCACATTTTGAAATTATCCCTACTGTAAACCTAATGACTCAAACGCTTATTTCTTTTTTGACAAGTATTGAGTCTATTTATGTAAAACGTTCTTGTAAGAATAAAAGAGGTTTGGAAATTGAACTCCTTATGGAAATAAAATTCTTTCAGTGGAAGAATTACTACGTGAACTCATATAAAGGCAATATCCACGAGAGCAAGAAAACTAAACAAATTTACGATCCGTTGAATAAGGAAAGAAACAAATATTTCGTAATCAGTAATCGATTCATAACTTTAAGAATTGGGAATGATAGAAATAGTCTAAATTTTTTAAAAAAAAGATTATACCGAACTAAAATTAATTGATGATAGGTGAATTTTGGACAAGTTTGTGATGGCATGCTCATCTATTTCTGAAAGCAAGACTGGAACCAAAACTCCTTGAACCGCTGGTACAGATTTTTAATGCTTTTTTATATTTAAAAAATAAATATACTGTTAAATATTATATGGGCTAGGAAAAAATGTTAATACCGACCTTGATTATTTCTCATGGTTCTTCTAATGGGTGCCTACTGGATACTCATTAACAAGCATTAAATTTACATATCCTACTATGTATATACACATACTATCAATTATTACTCTCCATTGCATTTATATACTTTTCCTATTTAAATTTACCTACCCTCTTTTGTATTTTCATATTTTCTCTAATTAATCTTACATTTCAAAATGATATTTAAAATATATTTTAATGAGTTCCGAAATGGGCACCCATTAGACACACCTTATTTCTTATTAGAATACAATGATAAGAGCAATAGAGAAGGGATCTTACCTAACTGTTATTTACAAAATCGGTGTAGGAATAGTTTTTCTTACCTTCTCTCTTCTATTTTATTCGAATCATTATAAGTTCTTTGGTTTTGATTTTTAAGAACTATATATTCTTTATTTTTGTGATTTTAAATACTAAATGTGAAAGAAAAGGATCCTGGAGTTTTATTTCCTTATAATGCATTTTTTTCAGTATCTCCTTTATGTCAATTTTACTTCAAGGAAATAACTCTAAATCAATTTTACTACATCATTTCTTTTAAGTCAAAAGCCTTTTTATTCTTTTTTGAGGCCATGTAGTAGTATGATTAAGTGTTACATTAGGAAAATAAGCTTATTAAAGTCAATGTCCAACTTGAACAGAATTTTAGGGGTGATTTTCAAAAGTAAGTGAAGAACATGAAAGAAACTTTATCAGGGTATGCTTAGAAACTAAACATGAGTTGGAAATCTAAAATTTTGTTTTACATATTAAATTTCATTTTTTGATCTTAAGAAAAAAGGAAAAAGACTTATGACTAACTACATGCAAGAAAGAGGCACCAATAGAAGACAAACCCCCCCAAAAAAAAACACAGATAAAACAAATAAATTAATGTTTTTAGTTCTATCATTTTCAAACTTATTCTTATTATTCATGCACGAATTTTGGTGTGTGCTTTTGTTGAAAACTTCTAACTTTAGTTAAACTTTTAGTAAACTTTTAAGAAAAATAATTGTAATATATGTATCTGTTATACTCATATGGTATTTTACTAACTGTATGGATGACAAAGAGAAAATTAAAAAAAAAAAAAAACATCGTGTAAGCAACCGTTTGACCAAAAAAAAAAAAAAGCAATCAACTGCTCAAGGTTGGGTTGCTATGAGTTATATAGGAATTATGGTTGTCCAAAGTCACCAAGAAATATCCGAAAGTAATGAATTTTAGCCCTATCATCTACACGGTTGATATTTTGCGACGTAGTTCTGTGGAGTTCTAAGAAGTAGTTTTTTTAGAAAAGTGAGATTTAAATTCAGAAAGTGTATAAAATATAATTGCAGCAATTATTGTCCTACTTACGAGGCTTCAGGCACAAGAAACTAGCATAACATGAAGCCTTGTAAGAAACTAATTAATAAGAATGTTCATCAAGATTAATCAAGACAATTTACAGTGCATATTCGTATGATTAGATCGTACCTAGCAATCAAACAGCTAATAAACAAGTCAAAATTACTCAATTTAACACAGCATCTCCCAATAATGGAACCAAAATCTTTTTAAAAAGAATAGATTTTTTAGGAGTCTACAATTATTTTTGTCAGTAGCCAATTACCTTTTGCTTCCACTAATCTATAACTTTAAAGTAGATTTTTTTCCGCTTTCTATGATTAGATCGTACCTAGCAATTAAATAGCTAATAAACAACCCAAAATTGCTCAACTTTTTCTTTTAGTGTAGATGGAAGGTTTCAAACTCAAGAGCTGCCCTCGCACGGTTCAACCCATTCCTCTCCATATTCAATTTAACACAGAATCTTCCAATAATGGAACCATAATCTTTTAAAAAGAATAGATTTTGTTTTGGAGTCTAGGTTATTCTAGAATTATTTTTGTCTGCAGCCAATTAACTTTTGATTTCGCCAATTTATAACTTTAAAGTAGATTTTTCTTTGGGAAAGTAATTTTAGCGAAAATTTCTCTTACCGAAGGCACCTTCCAGTCAAGAATTACGAGGCAAAAAAATACTTAACATATACATTTCCCTTTGAGCAAAAATACAGTAATGGCAAGTGTCTCACCTTTCTCTCACCTATAGCCTATATAAACTACCCTAGCTAGTCATTGGTATCCACCGCATAAACCCTTGTGGCAGTTCTGTCCAAATCTTGTCGAGGGCAAAATGTTGAGAGAAACCATGGGGAAGTTATGCTCGAAAGGTTTCGACAAGGGCACCAGCCATAGGAAAGCACCACCTCCGGTTTGGTGCCCATTGAGGTGCACTCTAGACGAGCTCTACAATGGAGTGGAAAAGACGATCAAGTTTCCCGGAGGACGCATGAAGCTCCTCCCTGATCCTGGGTATGAATATGTTTTTTGTAATTAACATCTTTCCTTATTCCTATATCTAAATTAATATGACAAATTTATCATAAAATTTATTGTGTATCATTGATATGGATTATTGATTTTCTGAAAGAATCAATTTGAAAACGAATTGGTGAGTTATAATATCAGTTAGATTTACTATCAATTTGAAAACGAATTGGTGAATATGTATATATACGTACATTCAGATTTACTATCTCCTTTTTTTTTTTTAATTTTCCAACGTACATATTAAGTTTTAAGATTATTTAGATGGGGAAGGATTGTGTTAAGTAGCGAGGAGGAAAGGATTTTAAATAAGAGATCTTGGTTCAAGAATTCTCATTTACAAATAAAAAGTTTATTTAAATAAAAATATTTCTAAGAAGTATTGCTTGTTATTGGCAAAGCACGCTTTCTAAAACATTTTTTCTCAAATATATCATATCAACAAATTGCTATGACAAACGATGTCTAAACATTCTTCCAAATAACCTCCAACCCAAAAATAATCTAATGCATTTACATTGAACTTGTAGCGTGATAGCACCGAATGCGGATCCGGAGACGCTTGTGGTGGAAATCCCAGCGGGTGCAAAAAACGGCCTGAAAACTGTATATCCGCGCAGGGTCATTCTAGACGACAGAAAGGTCCCCAGGGATGTGATCGTTGACGTGATAGAAGAGCCTCATGCTGAATTCCACAGGCAGGGCAACGATTTGTGGGCTATAAGGAAAATTCCGCTGATGGAATACGTTACCAATGAAGCCCTTACAATCGAAACATTGGATAAGCGTCTTCTAACTGTTCCGAAGATAGAACCTGGGTGTGTTATAGAGATTCCCAACGAAGGCATGCCTTGTTGGCACGGTATCGGGGAGACAGGCTCCATATTTGTCAGCTTTGAAGTTATCTACCCAAAGAATCTGAGTTTGACAAGAGAAGAAAAAGATGAACTCAAAAAGTTGCTGGCTAAGGAGGAGAATAATGTGTGATGAATTACATAAGTGGATCAAGTAACAATGCTGTGGGCAGTCTCGTGATTGTGTCATGTGTCTTTCTTTAGTACTAGTAATGGATTGTGACTATTGCATTTGGTTTATTTCCATCGAGTTCTAGTATAGTTTTCAGATTTTTAATTAGCTAGGTATAAGGATGATTTGTTCGTGTTTTAAGTTGTTCTCTATCTTTGCCACATCGGCCACATGCTATATCAAATTCGATTCCATTGTTTTTAGAGTTAATAATACTTTGTCATGATAATACCCTATCACCCTCACGTTCAAAAATATAAATTTTGCCCCCCAAAATGAAGAGCGTTTGTAGTTTTAACTTTTATCACTTATGTGAATATTTTTCTTTCTAAATTACCCTCAACATTTCCTAGTTTGTAAATGGTCAACTTTCGAGCCTTTGCATTTTTTAACTATAAATTCATCTCAATATTCTGCTATTAAGTTACTTTATTGCATTAGCATATGTATATTTTAACACTGCTTCAAACGTGAGTGGCCCCGCCTCGACCCCCACTTTTATCTAATATATCATATTGCTAATGTGAATTTTTACGCTGCAATTTAAAATAAATAATGTGGTATTTTATTATGATAAAAGAACATGCTCTTTCTCGACAATGTATGGTATTTGTGGTAAGAAATTGATTTTGTATGTTAAATCTATTTGATTTTTTTATTTGTCACATGTTGCATATTATTTATAAAAATGCAATGTCTATTGATTTAGATTTCACATAGTATTCACATAGTATCAAATATGAATATATGAAATTTAAAAGATCAAAGTGATTTTTATTACTTTTCATACTAGTCAGATTCAACAAGTTGCACTCAAAGTATGCAGACAAGACAAGATGCTCAGACAACTAGCAAAGGATCGAGCCCAAAGGAGAAAAGACCTTGGATCCTTTATATATATATAAAGGGTAGTGGTCACTTATGGGGGTATCCGTGTGGGTACTAGAGCAGGGTAGGAGTAGTGGGAGAGCCGGGGTATAGGGCAGGGGCTAGAGGTGGCAATTTGTCCCTAGTCCCAATGGACTACCATGCCCGTGGAGACTTTGGGTGGGATGAGTATTGTAATTTGATATTGGGTTTAAAATGAGACAAATCCCAATTATACCCATTAATTGATGGGAAATTTTGGGAAATACTTGGGTACCCATTGAACCCAAATATCTCACCAAAAAATTTAATTTATTCAAAAATTATCTCTAACAGTTTTTCTAGTCATACCAGCAAATATAATCTAGCAGTCTTTCTAGTCATTATCCACAAGAATTTCCAGCATTTCAGTCAGTTTAGACTTGCTATCCACGGACAATGATGAAAATAAATATTCAACACTCTAAGTGCCTTGGCCATCTTGATATCTGTTGGAATATGGCTATATATCTATCTTTTCCTTTATTTGTTAATCCAATTTTTGGTGGGAATCCTGAGTATAAGGCACTTGCATGTTTATTTTCTTGTTAGCTATTTCCTTTGCCTTTTTGTTTTCATGCTTTTGAGGAAGTGAAAACGTCAACTTCATATACGAATAAACCAAAATGTTCATTCTTTTGGTTTAATCCAGAGAGAATATATGTTCATTTTTACCAAAATATCATGTCTTTTTTAAGCAATTATTGATCATTCTAGAGTGTAAACCAATGTTATTCCGACTCAGTGGACTAATTTGATTACCCAATGCTGCTACTTGCTAACTCAAAGATCATTTTTTTATGGTAATATGATTTTATTGGAAATTGCATTACATTCCTCATTTGATGAAAAGATGAATTCATGAAAATATAAATTCACAATAAGACTAAAAGAAATTTAATAAATAAAAAATATTAAAGTTATATAAAAAATAAAAAATGAATTAAACGAAAAAATATATATAGAAAATAGATTTGGATATTGGGATGGATCAATCTAAACCCATTCCAAAGTGATCTCGTCCAAGTTAGTCCCAAAATACATATCAATAAGGTTGGGCCCAAACCCATATAATTCGGTTGTATCTCAAAGCTAATCAAATCCCGCCCATCCCACCCATTTTGTCACCTCTAGGCAGGGAGCAAGAGGAGCTATTTTTGGCGTAAGATAGGGGCTGATACCTTTGCTTTCTAGCAACGCCTTTACACTAGGGGTGGGCACGGGTCAGGTACCCGCCCCTAACAAATGGCTGACTCGACCCTAAAATATCGGATCAACCATTTTGCGACCCTAACCCGCTCCTAATGTTTTCGGGTACCCGAAAAAAAAGGAGCGGGTCATAGGGTATCCGCCCCTAAAAAAAAACTATTTTCCAATAAAAAAATATTTTTCACTTAATATCAATATGTTTTCCAATAAAAAAAAGTATGCTTTCTAATTAACATTGGTAGATATATTATAATCAAAATCCATGCATCACCATTCTCACACATTTCATCCAATAATCTAACTGATTTCATAAATTTAGTACATATTAGAATTATAATATTTAATAGATAAAACAAAATTTTATAATAATTTTAAGTACATCACCGTTCTCACGCATTTCATCCTTCTATAACATAACAAACACAAGAATAATAAGTATATGGCAACTTTTCCAACTTTTCCAAGTATAACAAACCCAAGGATAAAACGAAGTTTTATGATAATTTTGAGTACATCACCATTCTCACGCATTTCATCCCTTTACAACATAACAAACACAAGAATAATAAGTATATGGCAACTTTTCCAACTTCCTTAAGGATATTATGGTACAAGATTGCATCCAAAATGAGTCGATTGTGGAATCAAGTCCGGAAAAGAATTGAACAGAGCTAATAATTTTTGAAGAAAGTATAACCAAAGTAATCTTGAAAAATTTTTCCCAACTTTCTTATATCTTTGGAATAGACCTTGTTGCATTAAAGGTGATGAAAAAGAAAAATAAATTTCTTGCACTAAAATAAAAGGAAACAAATTTAAGAGACACAATTGTAATAAAATAAATAAATAAATGAAAGACACAAATGTTTTAATTATCTAACTAACAGAAAATTGGAGCTCCAAACACAAATTTTTGATTGAATTGATCAAAATTTTGCAGAAAAGATTGATGGAAGTAGAATAAAAATAAAAAAGGATGAAAGGGATGAACAATTTTTATGATAGAGTTTCACAAATTTTTCTTTGTTTTATTCATTTGGTTCAGGTTTCACCAAGAATATTCACTTTTTTTAGACAAGATGAGGAGAGGCGGATCATATGAGATTAAAATATGAGATTGTGAACCACTTTACTTACACTTAGGATTAAAAATTATAAAATTATATAATGAACCCTTATTTTTTTAATATTTACATAATATACCCTGCGGGTCGGGTACCCGCGGGTTTTTATTTTGTTGATCCGTATTCGTATCCGTTTTTGCGGGTACCCAACCCGCATCTGCCCCGCCAAGAAAAATCGGATCGGATATCATATTTTTCGATTCGGATCGGGATCGAATTTTTTGCCTGCCCCTACTTGACACTAGCAGTCATTTCTGGTACCTTGCTCTGTGCAAAAGTTTATTCTTATGAGAAGCAAATCATATATAGGGAATTACTCGAGCAATATTATATGCCAAATTCACTTCCCATTTTCATATATATGGACAACAAGCTTTCTTATTCTTGACTCGTGATGTGATTAACATAGAAGAAGGCTTACCTTTAGGCTCTCTGCAAGGAATGAGTGGTTTGCCAGTTTGTGTACTTTAGCCCATTTTTTCCCCTCATTTGTTATGAGCGCCTCACATATTAATTTGATAATTTCTTTGCAATGCCTTCCATATCCATTTTCTGGTAAGCACCTTCTCTGTTGGTTAGTAATTCCTTGATTAGCTCTGCATCTATCATAATTAATTGGGCTTGTGAACCATGCCAACTAATAAATAGTTCTTACCTGTCAGCCGAAACAGAAAACCATGAAAACAAGATTGAGAATGAAGCAACTTTTAGAAGAAAAATCAGTATCGAACTCGAACTAGCATGCCACAGAATCTTATTGCAGCTTACAGGAGTTAATTATTTTCATCTCAGTTGGATTACAGTGCAGGAGCAAGAAATCAGAAAATTGTGCATTTTTCTGCTGAGTTTCGGAAACAAACGTACAAAACTTGTTAAGGCAGAACTGCTACTTACCATGGATTTTTGTCCATAAGTGAATATGAGGCTGAATTTTGATATAGCGAGATATCTCCATAGATCTGCTCATAGATTAACTTCTCATGTTTGTGATCTCTTTAGGGTTTCCATAGGGAAGAAACTTAAAAGCAGGCCCCTTGATTCCCTTGGAACTTATGATCCTCTAATTCGATTTGGGAATCCACCATACCTTACGAAGGAACAGAATGAAAGTCCAAAGGTTGTAGAGTAAAACAGTGTTGAAGAAGCAGAACATGAGAACCTCATTAATACCCATACTTGATTGGGTTATGAACTGATAATCGAATCTAATTTAGATGCCCATGAATTATTTGTTCTTGAGCATTTTACAATGTGATATGGCTGCGTATCCACAAATGAATATTACGAAAAGACAGATCCATCAACATCTGTCTACCATAGCTTATTAAATTGCTGCATATCTGAAATAGGAAAAGGCAAGTATATATGGTAAAGATACTAGGCATGGATGCGTCAATGATCCCACGATTTAGAATATTTATGACTGCGTTCATGGCCAAGTTGTTGGACAAATTAGTACACACAAACACAAACACAAACACATACATATATATTTATATGTACACACACGTATCTTGCAAAATTTTTTTTGTATAGTGGGCAAATTACACATCTTGACACAGTTTTTCATTTGTAGACACAGTTATTATTTGTATATTGGGCGGAGCCGCATATAGTTGAGGGTGGGAAATTTCCCCTCCCCCAACCCTTAACTTTGGTAAAATCACAAAATAACCTTAGGAAATTTGAGAAGTTTTTGAATTATATTATATATTTGTCCTC